ACAATAAATAAATATAAATAAATCATTATAAAAGAATTTGTACTTGTTTTCTGCATCTAGTTTAAATGGAAGTGAAAATCTCTTAAAAGCCCGCTCCCTGAACAAAATATTAATCGCACAGTAAAAATTTGAGTGCAATAGTAAATGAGCACAAAAGCCTACAATAGATAATAAAGATTTTTACAATATCCTTATTTATTTTTATTCAGAGACGAAAAATGTAGGAGACAAAGCAAAATTATACAGGAGACACGGATGAAAGCGTAAATGTGAGAGACAGACAGAATAGGGAAATTCAAAGATAGACTGAGCGCATATGGAGTCCAATGCATTGTTTTGTTTGCCCTCTGGGGTCCCCCGCAAAATGCGCTACTCTCAAATTAGCCTAATTCATTTTGCCACGAGAGTGGTTCCACCCGTTGCCCCCTTACTTCTGACATCCTACCCGCTTGTCCAGACTCTATTCTCTTCATTTGGGCCGTGGCACGTACATCGCGGAGATCAGTAACGCAAAGAGTAAACCCTACGTTTTTTCCATATTTTTTTCTTTCTTTCTTTTTTTTCTTTTTTATTATTTTTTTTTTTTTCGGTTTCGTACATGGCCCACAGTTACTAGATACGTTTGCGTATGTTACTCCTTTTAGTTGTCTATGATAATCTGGTTATATATAGCCGAGATTAAGAAAAGTTAAAATTGTAATTAGGCAGATTATGAAGTGTAGGGTGGAAAAGATAAAAGCGACAGCCGGAGAAGAATCCTAATTGTTCTTATTTGCTAATATTCATAGTTGCAAATATTTTCTAATACAATATCTTGTTAACTATGAATAATGAAGGATGAAATTGATAAAAAAAAAAAAATATTAAAGTCTTGTGTAGCATTAGATCCTTTAAAATTAATTGGAATTTAACATTTACATTTGAACAAAATTAGAGCTCTGGTTTGAATGGACCTGTCTTTTCTATATGCAAATTACTTAAATTAATTTTTAATTCTATTCCAAGGGATTTAATATTTCAAACGAAAGTAAATCTTTAGTTAGTAGTGTGCTAGCATATGTGTAAACTTCCGCATTATAAGGCATAAAGTGTCATATTACATTGATTATATAATTTTCGTATTTAACGAGATTAAGATAAAAAGTGGCAATTGCATATTTACCTATATATTATAATATTCATATATTCATCGTAATATTATAATTATTATGATTTTCAATTGTAATTATTCTTTTTAATACATAAACATTTAATAAGAAATAAATATAGTACTTTGTAATTTATCAAATTCTCTTCTATGTTCATTCCATAAAGTACCTTTCACACTTTTTTTCAAGCTTTCTTTCAATTTAAATAAAATCAAAATCTCGCCGATAGTTCGCATATTAATATAATTTTTTAATAATTAAAAACTATATGCAATAATAAAATAAAATATTTATTATATTAGTGGTAAGAATTGAAAAAAATGTTAAAAATAAAGCTTGTCACAAATAAAAAATTTGAATCGATAATGTGACATTTTAAATGCGCTTTTAAAGATAATCTCGTGAAACTACAGGAGTTGCTTGTTTCTTTGCAATTTGCATCTATAATACCGTAACTTATAAATGTTTCGAAAATTTATGCTGCAGTACTTTTTTACATTAGAGCAACCACTGTATACTTAAGATTTGTGTTATTTATCACAGTTAAATAACTATTTCTTAAAATCCACTAAAGTTAATAATGCCAATTTTTCTTTAAATATCTGTAAATGTTTAAGGTCTTTAAATGTTCTGTATAAGTGAGAAAAAATTAACATACTTTACAAATTCATTATCAACAATACATGTTTTATTTACAAAGTCTGCTTTAATATATGCTTTTGCTAATAAAACATGTAAAAATGATGGAAAGTAATGTAATATAATGTAATTTAATAAATTATTCAACAATTTCTAAAATTTATAAAATCTATTTAATAGAATAATACAACCAAATTAAATAAGCAATTAAAATATTTAAATGTACCTGATAAAATGAGTACTATTATTCATTTTAAATTAAATAAATTATATAAGAATATGATTTAGCCATTATTGAGATATGGAGGTAATTGATGAGAAAAATAATTCCCAAAAGAAATTTTAAACTTTTCCCATAAAAAGGTATTAATTTTATTTTTCAATCATAAAAATCATTGCCACTTTAGCTATGTATAAATCTGATGAATATCTGGAAGTGTGGGGTTTTCCAATTAACAATTTATATCGGTATTTGCAAAATAGTATGCTATAAGAAACATATGAAAAAAAAAAAAAAAAAAAAAAAAAAAAACAAAATTAATAAAATTTTCACACTTATTCGATAAAAGTACGTATACATAAAAATCCAGGTGTTAAAATAAAGGGAATTTTCCTGGTTTACGTCGTCATGTGAGTTTCTTTATGGTCTCGCAGATTTTATTTCGCAACTCGAGAGACAGATAGAAGCGAATGGGTAGATGAAACCACGATTAAATTTGGCGAGCAAAATTAATGATTGGTGCAGCAAAAACATTGCGACGTTTGTGATTCATTGTTACAGTCGAGGGGTAGTCATTGCCAACTGAGGTTGTCACAATTGGAGAGAGTCCTGGAGTTTTCTCTTTAGCAAATACTAGTCATTGCACAATGAAATTGATATTTTCAATTTCCCGGTGATATAGTTATCGATTATATTTTAGACTGTTTTATTCATTTATTAATTTTTCCTGTTTAGTTGAAATTTGAATATTAATCCATTTATATTAAGATTTACTTGTTAATTTTCGTTACGTAGACGTTGGAATACTGTATTTAACGTTATATTATAAGTCCACATATACATTATATATTTTTAATAATAATGTTTATAATTAATTATTATTATGACACGCATTATAATTAAAAGAAATATATATTTAAAAAGAAATTCACCACGTAAATAGTAATTTTTTTTAAAAAATCACAAACTAAGTTTATACAACAATAGAGGTTGAAATGCATTCTCTTCTTCAAAGGATATTTAGTTTTAGTTACATCTACGCTTTATTTTTTTATTGAATAATGTTGAAACTTTGGAAAATTGACGTGCGTTGTGGGTATTCGGCATCAATGCACATTTACTTTTCCCTTTAGTCACGCTCGTTCACAGCCTCTCCTCGAGGTACTCACTTCGAGAATAAAGAAGGGCTCACTTAATCCACGCGATAGAAAGTGAGAGATAGCAAGTTAGAAAGGGATGATGAGGGGAGTGGTGAGAGCCACTATCCGTAACAACATAGAACAAATTAAACTGCCCTTGGCATAGCAACTAACTACACCCCTTCCTACGATTTTCGATAGCTCATATAATACATATTTAAATATTTATCAAATAAATGTATTTATTATTTGAAGAAATTATCTAGGATAATATGTTAAAAATTTAATATTCAATAATTAATTAGAGGATTGAAAAAATTTTCAAAAATATCATTATAAGAGACGAATTTTTTCAATGTCTAAAATTTGTATGCGTTGGTTATAATATATTAGTCAAGTAATATTTGATCTCTAATATTCATCAGTCGATAAACCCATATATAAATAGAATGGATTAAAGGTAATTTCAACGTTTTAATTAATTTTATACGTTTTAACAAATTTAAAAATTTCATTCAAAATATTAAAAGAATATTTAAAATATATAATAAATAAATTTTTTATAATAATTTTATTATATGAAAATTGTATTGCATTGAATTAAAAATCAATTATTATAAATAATTCTTTAAGAGAACGAAGGGTCACGATTTCCAGAATAAAAACAATAAAATATTAAATAATTACATAGAAAAATAATGTTCAAAAGTACGCTGGAACTTTGTCAAAAAAAAAAAAAAATAATAAAAATAAATAAATAAAAGAGAAGGACAACGTTTTCATAAATCAAATATTTATCTACATTCAGTTTTAAAATTATTATTAACAATCGATTCGTTTAATATTGGTTCATAATATTATTTTAGTTTATAATCGATTTTATGATCAATTTTGATAATACGCATTAGCATATACGCCTTTAGATACATAAAATATCTTCTAAAGCATAGTATTGCGAGCATAAAATTTTGAAATAATATACAAAAAAATAAGCATGGTATATTTAAATATAGCAAATATAGATAATCAGGTTTACGCAAATCTTCTTTCACCCTCAATGAAGCATAGGATAATGTATGTCGCATAGCAGTTGTTAACAATTCAAGAAGGTATACAAATATATGCAATAGGAAAAGTAGTCAAGCATCATATAAAATCTCCAAAATCCTCTTAACCGCTTCAACCACTTTTTACTCGTTTTCTAAGCTACGATTCCTATCGCGATAACGGTAACGACCTTTTTTTCTCTACCTTCGGACCAAGTAAAGAGAAGATTTCCGTCGCTAGTGGTGAAACTACTCTTGTATACTACACTGCATTTTATTTGTACATGTACATCCTGCTGGGAAAAACTTTTATGATCGGACGGAGTCTGTATAGTTATTGCCTGTAAAATGTATTTTCTAATCAATTTCTTTTCATTTAAAAGTATTTTTCAACATATAAATTAAGAATAAGGAGACGAAGAAATGTTGTAAGAAGATTTTGATTATAAGAAATAATGTTATTATTGCAGTGATTGCTGTGTCGTGGAATTGTCGTTTAGGAATTATTTCAATGTTTTGATCGACTAATGAAAATATCGATGGAGGGACTATAAATTATCTAAATTTTATATAATCATTTATATTAACAAAATTAATTGTACGAACTGTTAAAAACGAAACTATTAAAAATGAAACAGTCATGCTATTAACAAAAGAACTAATCGTTCACGGATTAAGAAAGAGAATTCTTTTATCTATTAAGTCGCTGCCCTGCACATGTCCACTTTTACAGACGGATGTGGAGTATTGTATCTAACCTCTTTTGTACTATTATTCATTTCAGCTGACCTAAATGAATCTTTTTCAGGCTACAGTGCGGTCGAAGCGCATGCAGAGGTCTTCGATCTCAATGCCAACACCCTGGATAGGACACTAAAACCATTGGACATCGACTTACCCCCTACGCTTCCTATGAGCTTTGGCACTGAAAACTCTACAGAGATACACGCACAGTCAGGATCAACTGCTCATCTGCCTTGCGTCGTTCATAATATCGGCGAAGGAATGGTGAGTTTAGTTTTATTTTTCCTTTTAAGAAATACATCGAAGTCATAAGTTATTCGCCGAGATTGACACGATCAGCGAAAGTAAGAAAGCTGAGTACTGAATAAGTAAGCACTTTTTCGAAACTGTCAATTTTAGTTGGATATTTGATTTTTAATCGAAAAAACTCAAATACAAGATAGAAGAGTAAATCTGAATAGGCATTTGCATACTGTATTTTTATATTTCTACTTTCATTCTTTATGTAGGTATTATACATTACTAAATTTACTAAGAATTGTAACAATAAAATTCATCGAATAAATCCTCTCATAGAGAGATTTATCATTTGGATGTAACGAAGTGTCCGTGGCAATTTAAAAAATGTTCGAGTTTACAAAAATTTTCTGATAAATTTCTGCGCATTCAAATTATGGTAAAATATTAAATAGATGATATGCTTTTCAGAGGTGTTGCATTGATTTTTAAATTCCTTCTTATCAATTTTGTCGTATCAAACTCCCATTAACTATGTTAATCTATCAACAGTATTGAAACATATTTATTTTATTATGACATAACGTCACTTATACACAACATTTATGTAAGAGACAATTAAAAGTTAATTTAATAAAAATGAGACACTTAATTTTAAAGATAGTATTTTTTTACTTTCTCTTACTACAGTTAATTTATACAGAATTAATGAAACAATAATATTAATTAAAAAGATCATTTGATTTCAAATAATTTAAAGATTGCTGATTTCATTAACAAAAATTGATTATTTAAATGAAAAAAATATAATATCAGGAATTTAAAAGAATCACTAAGTATAATTAAAGTGTATAATAAATCATTTTTGTTCTTTTATAGTGATAATTTTTTTTAACAATATTTTCTATTCAAAGTGAATTATTGCAAACAATTAAAAAAAAAATAAAGATAAATTTTAAGATAAATTTTTTAATTTTTCGTGAATCGCCATTGTGTAAAATGAACTTTCGATTTACAATATAATTAATGAAGAAAAATTAATCATACGAGTGAATTTGTATCTCATAAAGTCAAGGAAAAGCATCTAACAGAAATTTCTATTCAATAGGAGCAGTTAATTTAGGATGTTTAATATGCGTGTTCCTAGCTTAGTTATAATAGGAAAATTGCAGCAGATGTGGAGCAGCGGCGATACGAAACAAAGCATCATTAATTTATAATCACATTTTCTTCCCTAACCTATCCAAATTCTTATCACAGCTCTCATTTCTTGACAAAGACAATCCTAATCTATACGAATCAGTTAATCAAATTTATTTTCAAGACTATTTATTATCATGATAATATGATTTATTTTTAATATGATATATTTTTATTTGAACGTCAATGTGAAAATACAAACTGTATGTATAATAAAGAAAATATTAGGAACGTGATGACAGACATTATAATAACAATTATAATAAAATAACAAAATTATAATGACGACGATGATGATGATGTACATTATCATTTTCATTTATATATCGGCTTAAATGTTATGTCAGTGACGCATTAACTCATTATAATATTAAGCGTAATTAATTTTCCAAGCAGTTTTCAATAAATTGTAATTAAATACTAATTTTTGAAATAGTGGCAAGAAGAAAATTTAAAATAACATAACATTATGAGTACTGCACAGCAGAACAATAAGAGGAATATACAGTGGGAGAACAATCTACGGCAAAAAATATACTCCAGTTTAAAGTAAAAATATTAAATTTTTGTAAATTTAATTTATTGGAAATAAATACCAAAATGGACGTCCAATTCTCACATCATTCTCTTCTCAATTTAAATATAATCCATATATACATGACAATTAACGAGAATGTAACTATGCTAAAAAAAACATTAATAATTTACCACTTTCACCGTTTATCATTATTTATTTAAGTGGTGTGCACACTCATATGGCATGAAAAATTTAGAAGCAACTATAAGCAAACGAAGAAAACATACCTGACAAGTCCATTTAATTTTCCCCAGTGTCTTTGAACCGATCAAACTCATTTTATCGTTTCCGTATACCGTTTCTTCATTTCTACTACCCTAACTCCATGACATATCTGGATTCAGTCCAGCAATTGGAAAAAACGGTATTTTTCTTTAAAATCAATGTCAGAAAATGATACTGGATATTCAAAATTCGTAATAGTGGGCTTCCCGCCGAAAGGAATATTAAGAATATGCCAGATAAAATTCAAACACGGCTGTCGTGAGCTTACGGTTGACGCTTTAAGGGTAAATTCCACTTTACCGTTCCGCTGTTTATAAATTCACGCAATTCTCTCAATATTGCCTTGATCCTCTGAAATATTCAGATTAAGGCCGAAAATGGACCCACCGAAATATACTGAGAAATAACAACAAACTGCTTGTTCGAAATTTTTTTTTATCTAATTCCAGAACATAAATAACAAGATAAAATTATTTGTACAAGTGAGTTATTAAGTTACATATATAATTATTAATAAATGTATAAATTGTAATTCCAATTTTATATAATCATTGCTATAAGTCGAAATTACAGAGTTCCCAAAATTTTTACATTTTTTCAATTCAATTTTCGATATAAAGTGATAAACAAATATTTAATAAGAAATTCTATTGTAAAAAATTTCAATATTACTTAATATTTTGTTTACTAATAATGGTAAATTTAGGACCATTACAGCTTTATCATTTGTAGATCGATATCTCAGACTTTCATGTAGATATTTGTAGACAATTAAAATGACAATGTATATAATGAATGAATTAAATGGTTAATTAAAAAATATATTTCAACATTTTTATTTATTTGACATAATTTAATTCATTTTTATCAGACAAAATACAGAAAATCGTGTTAGGATATTTAGTTATAATTTAATATTTTATACATTTTCGCATATTAAAAGCATATCAATACAAATATTTATCAAATGCAGCTAAAAATAAAATCAAAAATAGATGAAGTACTTTATAAAAGGACTTTATTCAATTATATTGATAACATTTTATGGGTTTAAATATTCATTGCAAAAATAGTAATACAGTTATAACAGACATGTTACTTTTTCTATATAAAGGTATTAAATCATATTGCATGTCATAGTATTGATACAAAGATATATGATATTGTTTTCCATAAATAAATAAATACACACACACGCACACGCGCGCACACACATACAAACACACACACGAACACACGCACAAACACACACACACACACACACACACACACACACATATATATATATAATTGCTACGTAATGGAGATAATATACATATAATATTATTGATCTGATTTTTTTTAAAGGAAAATAATTTAAATACAAATGCTGCAAAGCAAAAAAGAAAGAAATATAGAATATTTGCATATGTACGACTGGTAAATATATATATATATATATATATATATATATATACATATACATACATATGTATAGGCAAATAAACATTTATTTAATTCGTACAAAATTCAATATCAATTTACAATATTTTATTAAATATATCCTGTAATAAAAAATTAATATAAATTCATTGTAAATTATTTATTTTTGAAGTACATCTTTTGTTGTATGTCATTTGCACATATCTGCAATAATTGAATTAAAAATCTACAATTCGAACGGATATTAAAACGCATCGTAACAGCTTCTGAACTACAGAAATTTTCTAATTAATTTGTTCACTTTCAACTTATTTCTTTGAAGATTTATATTAAAATATACTTGTATTATTAAATAAATCATTCTATATTTTTACTCAATAATCGATTTTTATACTAAATTATAATAATAAAATTGCAGGCAAATAAAAAAAATTTTTAAAATATTGTTATAATTAATTTTTATAAGTTTCTAAAGCATTTCAATAATATATATAATTCAGAAGTCTATTATTAAGAAAAAATAAAAATTAATTATAAAACTATTAAAATAGCAAAAACTATTTTTAAACATATTCGAAAGATTTTTACATTACAATTTAGATTCAATTCCTGCCCAAGTAAAGTACAGAGTAGAATAATTTCATTAAAAATGAAAAAATCCTTAAAAGACTCGGCAATATAATTTCTCTCATTATGGATTATCAGATTGTCTTAATGCATCTGAAAAGCTATATTTGCCTTCCGTTAAGAGATATTTGGTAAGATTTTTTTACTCATAATCTGAAAAGTGAGTAAAGGCATATGCTTAAGGTGTATATCGGAAACTATAATTCAATATTGTACTTGGAAACAGCTTATTTTAATCTTTAGAAGCTTTCTTCGATGACTATATCTGTTTAGTAACTAACACAGTTAGTACTCAACTTACAAAATCGATTAATATAGATAAGACCGACAGTAAAAAAATTTTATTTAAACAAGATATTTACAACTAGAGAATATTATGCTTTGATTAAAATAGTCTGTGTAGTATATGCGTAAATTTGAATTTCGTTTAATAAATCAGTGTATTGTTTTTTTGCATATTCATTCTATGCATGAATATAATTTGAAACTTATATAAACTTTAACAATCGTAAAAATGAAAAAAAAATACATAATGAAATTTTGTAAAATTCAGATAAAAAATAAAAGTTCTAATTGAAGTAAAAATGTAATAAAATTATAAATTCCTTTTAATAAGTATCATTCCTTATATAATTCTGAAAATAAGGAAATCTCCGTGAATATTGCATTGAATATATCCTATTAAATTGCTTTGATTCCTTCAGTGTCCTGTTAAACGAAATGCTTGCAGATTTTGCTTTCATAATAGTAATAAAAGCTTGAATACGACCTATAAAAAGCCTTTCCAATCTTTTGAAAATAAAATGTAAGTTAAAAATAAATCTTTCTTAACTAAAATACAAGCATATTTATGATTTTTATATCAATAAAACTGTTTTTGGAACAACGCCCAGGTCACATTGCTAAATTATAATATGTATTGTATTTTTAGTGCGATGCATTAATATTTTTCAAGATGATAGTCATTGTTTCTGAA